GTGTGTGTGTGTGTGTGTGTGTGTGTGTGTGTGTGTGTTTAAAAGCAGTGGCTTTAAATTAATGTGACTTTAACAGAGTAATAATCAGATATCTGACCAAACAGGCTTCCTGGGTTGGGGCTGCTGTCTTCCCATCAGGGCGACATTTCTGACTTTTTGATACTTCATTAGTGTCGTTCACAAACTGTATTCAACCTGAAATGGCAAAGTAAGGCCACCAGTGATTGTCCTGCCACAGTTCGCTGGCTTTGATGAGTCATTGCAGTACAGCCATCTGAACCAAGTGCCGATAAGAATAGATGCACAATAGGAGAATAAAACAACTGAGAGCTGAAGCAGAAATCGCTGGGGGCTCAGAAGTATGTTCACGGCTCTGCCGTATTTAGCTGCGTGACCTCGTGCACGTCAGAGTCCTCCAGGGCCCCAGGCTGCACGTGCATAAAAGAAAGTTTCTAAGGTTTCTTGCTGAAGTTAGGTCAACTTCGGCGTTTAATATCCACTGAGAGAGAAAGAAAGAGGAGGTAAGGTCTTTCAGGCGACCACGATTCAGGAGTTATGTAATTATAGTAGTTTTGTTGACCGGTGGAAAACAGCAGGTGAGTCAGCCTGCCGTGTAGCTTTCAGAGACCAGTGATGCTTTTTTTTTGTTACAAAAAGACTAGACTACAGCAGAAGTTTAGGTGCCAGTGGTCAGGGTGATGCCAAGTTCCAGAAATAGCAGCTAGGACGTTGTACAAAGGACAGTAGGGAGGCGACGGTGGTCACCAATTGGTTTTCCCAGCCAGACCTCACTTCCGCTTTCCATAGGGAAGCCGTTTCTGTGAGGGGCATGGGGGGTGTATCGTCCCCAGCCGGCTAGCAGCCCACCCCTCACATGTCGCTTGGGAAGTCACTACCAGTGACTGAGAAGAGGTCGGTGGTATTTCGTCTGCCTGGTTTGGTTCTCCAAGGGTCGATGCGAGAGCCGCAAACTGCTGAATGAAACGTGGACTCCTCTCAAGACCGGCAGATCTGAACCATCCATCCCTCATCCTCCCTCTGGGCCCTTTCTCCACTCGTTACAGAAGAGCGAGCTTATTCCCATTCCTCTCAGGCCTGGTACTGAGCTCCCCAATCTGCTTATTCTGTGCCTCCCCACACGGTTCAGCTTGGCCCACCACAGACAGTGCAAGTCCCCATGTGTAATAGGAAGAGGTTGGGTTGGGTGGGGGGGGTCTTTCTGCATCCTAGCTGCACCACTTCCTGGCTGTGAAACCTGGACTAATTTATTTAGCTCAGGTGGTAAGTGTGGTAGTATTAATAGTCTTCATGCAGGTAGCCACATGGTAACTTAAACCATATGAAATTATATTTTAACTTAAACCATATGAAAATATCTCCTCCTTGAAGGAGAGAGAGTGAAGGTGGGGCAGAAAACTAAGCCTTGATCTCTCCCAGCCCCAGCCCTCCATCAGCAAGAGTGTGTCATAAACACTAGAGGCAGATTTGACCTCATAGAGGTCACAAGGATCCCCACCTCTCTGCACAGGCCCCTAAGACAATGAGTTTCAAACTCTGTAAGCAGCAATCAACTTTTTAAAAATTTTACACCAAAGTGTAATATGTAAAATGAGTAAAAGTAGGCTTTTGTGTATAAACATATGCTTAGGTTGAAATTTATAATAAACCCACTAAGGATTATGAAGCAGTTTTGATTAACCCAAAAATTTGAAATAAGGGTGATAATAGATGACAGATATGGTCTTTTTCATATAACATATAGATAAGTAATTGTAAATGATATATTTTTTAAAAAGTTTCTCCTTCCAATCAGGTGATACCAGTCAATTCTGCCTGAATATATAGACCATGAACATTTCTGTGTTCACGTGTAACAGATGGGAATGAACTTCTAAATTATTGCATTTTTTCCCAAAATGATGTACATTTAAAAAATAAAGTAAATGTTAAGGGGTACCTGGGTGGCTCAGTCAGTTAAGCGTCTGCCTTCAGCTCAGGTTCAGGTCATGATCTTCAGGTCCTGGGATTGCTCCCCTCACAGGGCTCCCTGCTCAGCAGGGAGTCTGCTTCTCCTTCTCCCTCTGCCCCTCCCCCCTGGGCTCCTGTGTGCGCGCGCGCTCTCTCTCTCTCTCTCTCTCTCTCTCTCTCTCTCGTTCACTCTCTCTCAAATGAATAAATCTTTAAAAAAAAATGAAGTAAATGTTAAAACATCTGAAATATGTCCATACACTCCCAAGGTTTTGTTGAAGGATGCTCGAAACATACTCCCTTAGATCTTGGGTCACTGGGATCCCTATTTGCTCTCTGTTTCCTGTTCGGTTGTGGTGAGTGTTCATTGGCTTATGGAAATCTACACAGTTTTCAATACTGAGAGCCATTTGATAAAAAAAAAAATGGTTAAATTTGGATAAGGTCTGTAGTCTGATGAACAGTTTTTCATTAGGGGGCGCCTGGGTGGCTGAGTTGGTTAAGTGACTGCCTTTGGCGCAGGTCATGATCCTGGAGTCCTGGGATCGAGATCCACATCGGGCTCCCTGCTTAGCAGGGAGTCTGCTTCTCCCTCTGACCCTCACCCCTCTCATTCTCTCTCTCTCTCTTTCTCAGTCTCTCTCTCTCAAAAATAAATAAAAATAAAAAAATAAAAAATTTTTCATCAGTGTCAGTTGTTTGTTGTGATATTCTGCTGTAGGGATGTCAAATAATATAGTTGGGGGAAGGTGCGTGAAACTCTTTGCAATATGTTGCAGTTTACTCTGAGTCTAATTATTTCACAATTCAAAAGTAAGAAAAATTATTTGGAAAGGATTATCTTCTACTTAGGAGAGTACAATCAGCTTGATAGAGTGGTGTACACATCACACTTACAGAATGGATTCCAGACTTCCAGCTGTCTCACCTTAAAAAAAAAAGCATCTTTTCTTTCCTTGCCACTGAGTTCTGTTCCCCACCCCTCTACATTCATTCTATTACCTACTGTAACACTGTTGAAGTTTTGAAAAGAAAAGGGGGGGGAATCGGAGGGGGCGATGAACCATGAGAGACTATGGACTCTGGGAAACAAACCGAGGGTTCTGGGGGTGGGGTGGGAGGACGGGTTAGCCTGGTGATGGGTATTAAAGAGGGCACGTACTGCATGGAGCACTGGGTGTTATACGCAAACAATGAATCATGGAACACTACATCAAAAACTAATGATGTAATGTATGGTGATTAACGTAATAAAATAAAATTTAAAAAAAAACAAAACCAAAAAAAAGAAAAGAAAATACAGCCAATGGCCAATTAAAGAGAGCTCTGTCTTTTGGGAAATCTATTTTAGCTCCTAATTAATTACTTAATTAGAAAATGATGCTGAAACCCAAGAGTTCACCTGCAGTCACCTGATACAGAAAAGGTAGACGAATGATGTGGCATGTTCTTCTAATGCATTCCTATGCTTAAAACACTTAATTAGGCCAAAGCATTATCAACATGCTATAATACCAAATCAGAGTGCCCTATAGCCTAATGTGATGGTGCAATGTGATGAATATTATTCTATAGGAGAAAAAAATGAAGGATTAAAGATAATTTAAAAAGAATACAGCTTTGATACACTCAGTTCTCTGAGTAAAGCAAAAGTGGGCACGGCGGTAGTGAAATGTGATTCTCTGTTCTCTTGGATTTTACAGTGTGCTGTAAATTACTGCACTACCTTATTCTTTGATAAGATTGATGGTGGGTTTTGCTCTTTATCAGTTGGAGAAATGCAGCAGAATTCCCCCCAGCCTGCCCATCGATCTTCATGGTAATTGCCAGAAGAGTGATTGTCTCTTGTGTTTTGACCAAAATGGATTGGTGGGGTTGCTCACAGCTGTCAGACACCTGGGAGGGTGAGCCGGGCTTGAAATAGTGCTTTAGGATATGTTTTAATGTGTGCTAATATAACTCCATTTTAGAAAAATTAGTTTACTCAGGAACATAAAATACCAAGACTACAGGGTCCTGTGCACTAGGTAGGGCTTTAGTTTTGTGCCAGTTGTGGAGACTGCCTAGGCTGACCCTTGAGTCTGAGCTCTGAGCCTTCCAGAAATTTCTGTCTGACCACTTTCCTGGCTTCTTCTGCAGGGTTATCAATGCTGGGAAGAGCACACATAATGAAGACCAAGCCAGCTGTGAGGTTCTCACTGTGAAGAAGAAAGCAGGGGCCATTACCTCAACCCCGAACAGGAACTCGGCTAAGAGACGGTCCTCCCTTCCCAATGGGGAGGGGCTGCAACTGAAGGAGAACTCGGTAAGGTCCTCCTTCACCCCCGGTTCTCAGGTGAGAGGCATATGGGCACCCTCGCCCCCCAAGGTGCTAGAGCTGAATCCTGGTCTGTAATGGGAGAGTAAAAAGCAATGTCCCCAGAGTTAGTGGAGCAGCCCATCTCTACTCACGGTATCACACAGTCAAAGCTGTGTGTGAAGTCAAACACGTGTGAAGAGCTGGTGTTGATTAGATTCTTAACGCTTAGAGTAAATAAAACACCCACATCGTATATAGATTTTGTTGAGATATAATATATATATTGTTTGGTGGTTGTAAAGGAGCCACTTTAAGATTTTTGTGAAGGAGACGGTCTCCGGGAGCCTCTTCTGAGGGATGGAAGGATCTCTAGCCATTGGCTTGCAGCCCTGCCATGGCTTTGCCCCCTTCTTCCGCTTGCCTGTCTGTTAGGGTTGTCTAGTGGGAGCCTCTGCCTGATGCTCTTCCAAATTAATCCTGTTTCAGTTGGCCCAAAGCCCTTGCATCCCATGGGGCAGCCCTGCAGACTGAATGCCTTGTTGACAAGCTACAAAGCGCTTCTCCTCTCTTCAGTTTCTGGAGAAGAAAGCAGACATCCTCAGAAAGTTCTGAAGAAGCACTCAAAAGTATAGGGAGTAATCGGTACTCTGTCCACCAGCAGATTATTTAGTTTACAGAAAAGAAATTGAATGAGATGATCCAAATGTGACTTTTTATTCTAATAATCTTGAGGATATTTTTGTATATACATTTTTATAGGATTGGAAAGGATCCAGGAATCTTTTTTCAGTGTAAGAAATAGTATCTCATTGCATTTAGCGCAGGGAATAAGAGTACTGATTTATTTTGTTCATACTCGTTCAACTTAGAAACACAGTGACGAATGGAGACTCACCAGCTGTACTTGTGTTCAAGGCTGAAGGAAGCATTGACTGGGCTTTTCCTAAAGAGCCGAGTCAAGGACTCAGATGGGCAGTACAGAATAATAGTGGTTAAGTGCACAGGCTCTGGAGTAGTAGGTTTCAGAGCAATCCATCACCATCCATCATGTATCAAACCATTTAATTTTAGGATGGTTATTTATTCTTTGACCCTTAGTTTCCTAGAAAAAGAAGTAACAGTTACTACTACCAAGTATGGTAGGAAAAGACTGGTTGGAAGTATGAAATCCATTGTCCGTGGAAATGTTGAGCCAGTGTCTTCATTTATAAATCCTTGATAAATGTGAGCAATTATTATCCTAAAGTCGGTTCCATTTTAGGGATTCTCTGTGGATAATGTCCACTGAATTTTGTATGTTTATCCATTTGTAAAGTGAGAGGTCACACAATTTTCCTTCATGCCTATTTGACAGGATTGTTTTGAGGATTGAGTTATTAATGGAAAAGGGCTCAGAAAATGTGAGATATTGATGATAATTAGATATGGGTGCCAGTGACTTCATGTTACTCTTTTCCCTGTTAGTTCTCCCCTGTCACCGGGATATGAAGTGATTTCTGTAAAAATTAGTCAGCATTGACATTTGGCCCAAGGCCAGTTGGTAATGTCATTTTTCCTTGTTGCTAAGTTCCTCCTAGAAATGGAGCCAGGAATAACTTTTTAACTTAACCTTTCCTTAAGAACAGTGAAACCAGGGGCACCTGGGTGGCTCAGTCAGTTAAGTGTCCAACTCTTGATTTCAGCTCAGGTCATGATTTCAGAGTTGTTTGATCGAGCCCCAAGTCGGGCTCCCCACTGAGCGTAGAGCCTGCTTAAAATTCTCCCTCTCCAGGGCACCTGGGTGGCTCAGGTCATGATCCCAGGGTCCTGGGTTTGAGCCCCGTGTGGCGCTCCCTGGTCAGTGGGGAGCCTGCTTCTCCCTCTGCCCCTCATCCCCTTCTCTTTCTCTCAAACTTTTAAAAATCTTAAAAAAAAAAAGATTCTCCTTCTCCCTCTGTCCCTCTTCCACCCCCCTCTTATAAATAAATAAATCTTTTTGAAAAAAAAAAGACCTGTGAAACCAGTGCCTAAGAACTTTAGGATGGAGCCATGAACCTCGCCTGTGACTGTCCTGAAGCTCTGTGGGGTCCTTGTTCCAGGAGGCAGCGAGGAGGTGCCAAGCAGAGTGGACCCTTCCTGCCCTCCATTTCCTGCTTTAGGTGCAGCCACTTCATTTCTATCTGCTGTACATGTTAGGCTTTTTATTAGAGTTTTTTTTTTTAAGATTTTATTTATTTATTTGACAGAGAGAGACACAGCGAGAGAGGGAACACAAGCAGGGGGAGTGGGAGAGGGAGAAGGAGGCTTCCCACGGAGCAGGGAGCCCGATGCGGGGCTCGATCCCAGGACCCTGGGATCATGACCTGAGCCGAAGGCAGACGCTTAACGACTGAGCCACCCAGGCGCCTGGCTTTTTATTAGAGTTTAAGGCAAAAGCTGTGCTGCCATTTTTTAACTGTGGGAAATTATACATAACATAAAATTTACCATTTTAACCCATTTTTAGGTACACAGTTTAATGGCATCAAACACCTTATTACCATTTGCTGCCATCCATCTCCAGAACTTTTTCTGAAATTGAAACTCTGTACCCATTAAACCCTGACCGCCGTTCCTCCCTATCCCCAGCCCCTGCCAGTTACTATTCTACTTGTTTCTTTATAAATTTGACTACTCTAGGTACCTCATATAAAGTGGAATCATACAATATTTGTCATTTTGTGTCTGGTTTATTTCACTTATAATGTCTTCAAGATTCATCCATGTTGTAGAATGTGCCAAATTTCATTCTTTGTTAAGACTGAATAATATTCCATTCCCACGTGTACACACCAGTTTGTTTATCAGTTTGTTCATCGATGGACACTTGCTTCCATCTGTGAATAATATTGCTATAAACATGGATCTACAGATAGCTGTCAGTCCCTGCTTTCGGTTCTTTAGGATTTATGGCCAGAGTGGAATTGCTGGATGATACGGTAATTCTGTTTAATTTTTTGAGGAGCTGCCATACTGTTTTCTACAGCAGCTGCATCATTTTCCATTACAACCAGCAATGCACAGGGTTCCAGTTTTGCTGCATTCTTGCCAACACTTGTTGATTTCTGATTTTTTTTTTTTTAAGTAGCCATCCTAATGGGTGTGAAGTGGTAATCTCATTGTGGTTTTGTATTTCCCTAATGATTAGTATGTTGAGCATCTTTTTATGTGCTTATTGGCCAGATGTAGCTTCTTAAGAGAAACATCAAGTGTTCCTTATTCAATATTTATTTATTCCATATTTGAGTCCTTTCCCCATTTTTAAATTAGGTGGTCTGTTTTCTTGTTGTTTGCACTACTTTTTAAAAGCTTGAAAACCATGACTTGCTGTGCCACGTAAACCCCTGAGCACTTGCTGTGTATCAGAAACTAGATGCTGAGGATTCAGCAGGGAATAAAATTGACAAAAGTCCTTACCTACAGGGAACTTACATCCCTTGCAGGAGACCAACAATTAAAATGTATCCCATGGCAGATACTAAATGCTATTGGAGAAGAACAAAGCAGAGATGCAGGCATATAGGAAGTGTGAGGTGCACGGGTGGTTAAAGAAGGTGCCACTAAGAAGGTGATGTTCGGGCACAGACTGGAAAGTGCAGCTATTTGGAGGGAGAGCTTTCTGACTTTCTAGACAACCGCAAGGACCGTGAGGCAGGAAGAGGCCTGGTGTTGTCAAGAATCAGCGAGGAGGCCCCTGTGGTTGGCGCAGAGAGAGTGAAGTCAGGATTGCAAGAGATGTTGTCGGAAAGGCAGTGAGAGTGAGGTGAGGCCATCTAGCAGGACCTGGAAGGCTATCATGACTTTGGCTTCTACTGTGAATGAACAATTTGCTAGCAGGGCATGCTGGGTATACTGCTTAAAGGAACCCAGTGACTTTTCCCATTTAGAAGACACCCCTTAACTCAAATACAGTAGTGCTTAGAAAGGGTAGTGACAGTATAGGGCACAGCACAAATCATCTGCAGGGGACAAGTAAGGTGGCTCCGCTCCCTTCTCCCTCTGTGCATCTGTCCCTTCGCCTACCAGACATGTATTGAGCGCTGAGACTGCCTTGGGGGTGAGATGAACTCAGTACAGTTCCAGTCCTCCTAGAGCGGAGTTGAGGGCGAGAGTCAGTCAGCAGTGATACAGTGGAGTGAGTTTTAGGAGAAAGATTTTAAAAATCCAGGTTGTTTGGAAGCTTAACTCAGATGGGTGGGTTACCGGTGGTTTGGGGAACAACAGAGGAGAGGGAATGGGTCAGATTAGGGAATGGTTCCTGGAGAAAGTGACATCTGAGCTGTGATTTAAAAAAGCGAGCTTGGGTGGCTTAGTTGGTTACGCATCCGACTCTGGATCTCAGCTCAGATCTTGATCTCAGGATTGTGAGTTTGAACCCCACATCGGGCTCCGTGTGTAACACAGTCTGCTTGTCCTTCTCGCTCTGCTCCTCCCCTTGCTCATGAGCTCTCTCTCTCTCTCTCAAATAAATAAATAAAATGTTTTAAAAAAATTTTCTCCCTCCTTTCTTGACCTCTCATCGCCAACAACTTAAAGTCAAATTTCCAGAAAATATTCCATGTATAATTTAATCACCTTCATCTTAGTTGGAGATCGAAGAAAACCTAAAATGTCCTGAAGCTTATATATGATGACATTTCTTATACTGAGAGGCAGTTGGGCAGCTGGGTAGCAATAATTTTTTTCTTCCTATGGATAATTATTATTGGTATAAAGATTTTAAGGCAACTTTAATCCATCCCTCATGCCAACTCATAGAGATTTATTTATCTTATTAGGACAAGTAATCTTTTTAGTTAAAGGAGTCGATACTTAATCCTTTTATTTTAAAACAAACTTAAAGGGTGCCTGGGTGGCTCAGATGTTAAGCGTCTGCCTTCGGCTCAGGTCATGATCCCGAGGTCCTGGGATCGAGTCCCACATCGGGTTCTCTGCTCAGCGGGGAGCCTGCTTCTCCCTCTGCCTCTTTCTCTCTCCCTGTCTGTCAT